GGCCCTCTCAAAAATCTCTGTGATTCTAAGATGAACTGATAAGGAACTAGTGGATAGGTCACGCAGTTGTCGCCTCAACTTTTTTAGTCTGTTCTGAAGAAAATGAGGAACAAGGGAATCTGAAGAATTAGGCTTGAGATATCTACGCGGCACAAACTCTACAATGTCCTTGGAAATATTGGACATGACATCACGAAGAACGGTTGCATCGCTACAAGTGAGGAAGCCACACCAATCCAAGGATCTCATATAGTTATTTATTACGTCGCTATCTACGCAGTCGTAGTTCATGAAAGTCTGAACGGCGCTTGTCTTTTTTGAAAAGGCAAGCGGTAGGCAACAATGAATTAATACGTGGTCACTGTCAAAGAGGTCCTTTTTTAAAGCAACAGAAAGAGGAGCAATGTCATTGGTAAAGATTAGATCTAAAATGTGATTATCTCTTGTTGGAGAGCGCACCAGTTGGGACCAATTAGAAAACTTGATAGTATCTTGAAAGGACTGGAATCTGGGTGGGCAGCTATTGGAAACCCAGTCAATTTCAGGAAGGTTAAAATCCCCAGTGATTATTTTAACATCGAAAGCAGCTTCCGAAATTAATTTAAAGATTTCACAGAGTTGTGAATCATCACTGGCTAAAGAATTTGGGGGATTGTAGATACAGCCAATAATTGCCTTTCTTTGCGGCGAGAGAATAACATATGCAAAGCAGAAGTTTCCCGTGAATGAGGAAACATCCAAGTAATAGAGAGAGTGCTTTAGGTAGGATTTAAGATAAAGAAGACAACCACCCCCACGCCTAGTCGTGCGGTCTTGGCGGTAAAAATCGAAGTCATCTATGAGAAGGGCAGAGTCAGGAATTAGAGAATGTGTCCAAGATTCTGTTACACATATAATATCAGGCGTCATTTCCAGAGCAATGGCTCTGATTTGAGCCATCTTGTTTATAACAGACCTGGCATTCAATAATATAATATCTAATGTGTTTCGAACGGCAATGCTATTTTCGACGATATTTTAAAAAAATTTGGAGGCGGATATGTAACCTGCGAATTAATGACACTTGGAGAATAAGTACCAGTTAATTTAGAGTTATTGACGTATGGGGAGTCAGCAAGAGAAGGCTGAGTATGACACCTAAAGGAGGTGGGGGCATAGTTTTCAAACATTGGAATGCTAGGGGAGTTAGAACATGGATAGACTTGTTGGTAGTTAAATAATGGAGGAAGGGGAGGAGGAGGAGGGAGGCTAGAAGGAAAGTAGGGGCTAATGGGTGAGGGTAGGCCACTAAAAGAATGAAATAGTGGGAAACCAGGTCTAGATTGGAAGT